CTAGGCAAACGCATCAATTCGGATGGATTTAATTCCCTCACGGAACATTTTTCATGTAATCCACCAATTGTGGTTCTATGCCTGAATACTTGTAATAATTGATTTAATAATCATCATCAGCCTATTAATTCTCATTGCTGAACAAAGAAAAGATTGGAATCACCACGCATGCTCAGCGGATTGGCGATTTTAAACTTATGCTTACAAATTTCTCCTCTCCACGTTTCCTCACGATGTTTTTTTTCACCGTATGCCAGTAGTGTCTAAATAATCTTAGAAAGTAGGAACATATAACTCGGTAAAAGTCACATTGGTACTTGGTTTCGAACCCGCGTGCAAAAGCAGTAGGCGTCTTAACCTCTGGGCTACCACGACCCTCTATATTGATTTAGTACAAGCAGCATATGCGTTTAACAATCTATATAAAATTGATTGCCTATTTTCATACGAACCTAATTCGCAAATAAAAATGGCAAATGGTTCGGAACAAAAAACCACTCATTCGTTGTTTTTATTCATAGCAGACGGACCGAAAACCCAAATATAAATGGTTGAATGAAAATTTGAAGACCTATTCAACTGTGGGTCCTCAGTAAATACAGAAATTGATAGACTCTGACTACATCACGGGCCCGTAGAGTTTTTAAACACGAAGAACATTAAAATTAAGGACATTTAAAAAAATATTTTTCTTACTATTAAACATGTTGTATCATTACAGACACGTGAATATCTTTACAATTAATTTACACTTTTTATTCACATTAAAAAAAGTCAAATTAAAGAAAAAATTGAACATCATGAATGCAGAATATTTCTATTATTTTTGGTCTTATTATACACGAAGCATGTCCTCTGTAGAGAGTTCCATTGTCAAGTTATACATTATACAAAATCCGATCCTCTGAAACAAATACAAGAACTCTCTCCCTAACAGTCCCACCTAAGACCACTAGACCAAAGAGCGAGTTACATAGAGTAATATATGTATGTATGCTTGGTAAAAGTCACCCCAAACCGATCGTAATTTACAATAAGACCCATAAAACCTACACCTTTGTTTTTCCGCTTGACCCTTCAGCGCTGCGCGTGACAAATTTATTGACGATACAACGCACTTGCTACGTGGCCCGTACACCGGTACTGACATACAACATAATATATAGATAGTATGAAACACCTTTACGTGTGCGGAAAAAGGTACGAATGTCTAGAAGATCGAACATAAATTCAAAACATGATGGAGATCCTTTTTGCTTACTTTTTCATCTAGGACATATTTATCATCATCGTCAACAAATATAACATTTAATGGCTTATGAGTAAAGGTGTCTTCTAAGACTTTAAGGGTATAAGTGTCAATCAACACAATAGCTAAAGGTGGATTGGCGATTTGAAACATATAAATAGAATTAATAAGTCCAGGTTTACCTTCACCGCACCGTTTATGTCAGTCGTGTCTATACAATCTTAGAAAGTATAATCAGCTTCAATGTTCGTTTGAAATGTCGATTTGCAACATGAGATTGTATAATATTTTTTATTTCAGATGAAAGAGTGGCGTCTCCTAACACAGGCATTAGTTGCCTAAAAGAAGGCGCCAACAAATTAAGTTTATGTTAAAATTGTGAGACTAAAAAAAACATTTTGTGTTGTATTATTGTATAAAAAAGTAGGAATAAATTATACCGAAATTACTAAAATCTTCAATTTCCTTTACTATAAATATACAAAATGTTTGTTGATATGGAAAAGTCATATGAATCTCTCCCATCCCGGGTGGATGGAGAGTGTCAGACACTTACTAAAATCAACCTTGTTCGTTATCCTGCCCAGCCAGGCTGCAAAACATAATTGCACTTGCACCCGGGAGTCATTGGGTACATACATGCATATGACAAAAAAAGCAAAGTTTAGGTAAGTCAATATTAATTACATAATTATGTTAATTCCGCGGTTCACTGGGTCAGCTAGAGCAAAGTAAAACAAATGACACTTCAATGACGTCACGCCCAAAATGACAAGGACGGAAGTATATCGTGTTCTTTTTCTTCAATTAGTTATGGCGTCGTATTTCTACTTAACGAAATTGAAATACCGTTTTCATACTCAATGTAAACTTGTTTCAGAAATGATGATAATGTATACTTATGAGGTAGGTAGCCTATTAGCTTAATTAACCGTTCGTTATAAGTTCTTTTTATGGCATGTCTGTCATCAAAAAACGTAATAAATGTAGTAAAATTTTATGTTTTTATTAGTCTGTAATTTTCGTTAATTTGAAAGATACAGTCAAACATTGGAAAATAGCACATAAGCGCAGCTTGGCCAATCTCCTAGATGATGATGATGATGATACGGGGTACGGTTTACGACATTATTAATTACTAGCTTCACTCGCTGTTCTGGCTTCTACAAATCGTAGCGTGATGTTTTATAGCTAAACCATCGTCGATAAATGTACTAACAAAAAGAATTATTCAACTCGAACCAGTCGTTCTGGAAATTAGCGCATTCAAACAAATAGGTTATTTTAAGGGCTAACTCATGTAAATATTTGGCAGAGAACTCAACAAATGGGCCTTCTCGACAGTGATACCAAGGCATCACAGAATACCGGCGTCAAAGAACACTTGCGTTGTGTACCACCGTATGAGTGAGGTGATGAAGTGTCTGGCCTAATCCTAATTCTCCTCAAATCCCTAAAAAAAAACAAAAGGCCCGCAACGCACTTGTAATCCGTAACTCCATAGACGGGACAGATTACTTACTAGCAGGTGATCAGTCCGTCCATCTATTCAAGGGGGCCAAGTCGCAGTGAAAATGCTAGTTGCAATTAAAACCGAGTAATCTAAAATACCTACCTACTATTTTACACACTATTTCCTTTCCACTGCATAACGGTTCTGCAGTCCCAAAGATACTGTATATCAATCTATGTATACAGTACGTATATCAATCAAATATCGTTTTGAACACAAATCTATAAGCAATTACATGTTCAATTTTCCGTTCCGTCCTGTATAAATGAATGTTTCTTAGAGCAACAGTAATTAATGTATTTGTAAGTTGTTTAAATATGGATGAATTATATTATATAGAGCTCAACGAAATAATAATGTAAACATGCTGTAGCTAAATACAGAAGCAGTTTTAATCTTTATACTTACTAAGAATAAAATAGATGTTTGTAAAGTATAAAATAATTACTTTGTTTTTCCTTTTCTGTGACATAATATTAGCATTACACTGACCTGCTATATGGAATTTATGAAGCTGATAGAAAAAGAGTAACCATGGAGTATGCTGCCCGTTCTTCTCCATCGGAATCTAAGCTTTGGAACAAGCAAATAGCTTTACTAAGAGGACTGACCGACAGACTGACATTTTTTATATTAAACTTTGACGTTTAAACGTGTCTAATTGAAATAAATAATTTTTATTTTTTAACCTTTTCGGCTAGTACTTATACTTTTGCGTATAAGGAAACAAGAATTAGGCTATGGGTGTAAATTACTCAGGACTGTTATAATTGAAACTATTGGAGGACTACAGCTACAACTTTTACATGTAAAAATGGCAGATGGAGACTCGCAAAGTCACCAACCGAGCCAACGGGACAAATGTGACTGGCCGAAAAGTTATGAAACTGCCACCAGCTTTCTATTAAGATTATTTGCATCTGCCTAAGCATCCTACATTAGTGCCCATACGCCGCTTACGAACAGCTTCCTCCCTCCGCCGGAGATAAGGAACGGTGACATCTCCCTGGAGTACTCGGGGTCTTGGTAGCTTGCGGGATTGCTTGTTAGTTCTCCTCAAGGTGCGCTACGGGTAACTTATTATATTATTATTTGTCTCCCATCACAATAGGTAATCATTATTGAAAAGGTGTTCAATAGATAAACCTCTTCCCGTGCTTTCGGAGAAAAAAGACATGATATTATAACTTAATGCATAACATCACTTATTTAATTATAGAACTAAAATAACATATGAGTAATATCGGCAGTACGTGACGTTCCGCATAGAAATTACAACGCAAGCAATAATTCAATCAGACGCGGCTTAACCGACCTCTCCCGGTGTTTACCAAACACGTACCCTTATCATATAGTATGACGACCTCACAGCCCTACACTGCAGTCCCTATGACGTAACAATATTAATTATAATCATCAAAATCAATCTTCAAACGCACTTCAATACAAACAATGGAAAAAAAACCTTTCGAAAAACAATCGCCGATAGTCACATACGGATATTCGCAAAGAGCAGTTGTGTCGAGCCACTTTTAATAATGTATAATTTGGTCTGTTTAGTGATTTTCACAAGTACGTTACAATATGGGTCGTGTAGAGATGAAGATAAAATTATGAAAGGTACTTTTTGTTAATTTACTATTTGACTGGAACAAAACTTTTTAGTAACATTTGTAGAGAATGTAGATTAGATAGAGATGTATGGGAAGAGCTTAGTCTCCCGCATAGGATTTTATCTCTAGTAAGTACACAGTCTAAGTTTAGAACGACTAGTGTAAGTCGAAGGATATCAAGTAGCGCCCCTGGGAGCAGTAATGGACCTGTGGAAACGACTACAAAAGGAAAAGTCTAGTCCGCAACTAGATTTAGTGCCCTTAGATACCCAATAATGTGCCGATGTGAGAAATTGCACACTATTTAAAAAGAAAATGTATTTTCAAAATATCCACAGGGACCTAAGATGTTAGTTGGGTATCTCCTAAAAGCTTTTAAACAAAGTTTATACCTCATCAATAACTTATTACCTGTGAAAGTGGCTAAAGAGAATTGACCTTTTCGCCTCTAGAAAATATTTTTTTATTTGTATTTTAACTCAATAAGATTGTTCTTTATTACAATAAGGTAATAATTAATCAAAATTGGGTGTAGTATAGTTAAGTTCCTCTTTATCCAATATTCCTAATTTAGTTGAATTTTATTTACTGTTTTATTGCCTAAAATATACTGGGTTCGGACTTAATGCACAAAGGTAACTAAAGAATGTGTAATCATGTGTTTAGCAGTTTTAGCAATATTAAAAAGTAATATGTCAAATTAATTAAAAATTGTTAAAAAAAATCAATCACCTACTTGGCATATTAATCTATCTAAAAAAAAATCTAAGATACGTTTACATAATTAAAAAAGTTTGTATATAAAATTGCACTTTTAGTAAAAAAGTTTTAAAGCGGCTAGTATCAGCAGCCATTAGATTTTATGTAAAAAACAATGAAATGTAAGTGGAATATTATGTTTCCAGCTTGCTACTGGCCGAATGAAGCGTACGAGCCGTGTTTCGGCGGCTGCGCGGAGGTTTCATGCGACAACCCTCGGAACCACCTGCGACCCTGCTACCCCTACTGCGAGCCAGGATGTGTGTGTGAAGAGCCCTATGTCCGAGATGACCGAACTCATCAATGTGTGCTGCCTCAAGATTGCTCACCGTGGGTATTGTTACTAACACTTTCTAAAGAATAGAAGCTGATATCTGATGGTAAGCAATCAGTACCACCAATCGACTCTATGAAGGAGTTATAACGACGTGACCGGCCTTTTGGTGGGCAGTGGATCTGCAAGTACATACCTACTATAAATATACTTATGCTCAATATTCATGAAATATACTTTATTACAATTTAGTAAAATGCTATACAGATTACGTTAACCTTTTTAACCTTAGCCAGGAATGGGTCTATCGGATGTAAAAAGGTTGGTATAATGTACATATCTTAAATTGTAATTCTAAACAATCATTTCAGATGTATTACAGAAATACAGATAACAAATGAAGTGATTTCATCGAACTATTGCATTGTTATGCAATAAAAGAAAGGGATCTACGCACACAATTATATGTCAATTTCTAGCGAATTCAGAAAAATATATTTGTATTTCTGTACAGTTGATGACATTAATAACAATATAATTATGTAGAATTAACATAATAAGAGTAGAAAAAAATTAAATATCTGTGCTACCGCTTATCGATTTATACACGGTTTCCGAAAGGCCGATCAATGTTAAAATCAATTTAATCTCTTGTCAAGTTATCTGATTGGTTGACTGAATTATCAACAACCAATCAGATGACTTGACAAGATATTTAACAGGAGATTAGTTAATTTTAGCGTTGACAAGCCTTTCAGAAACCGGGTGCAATACAATCAAATCTTTCATCAAGCAACGCAAATGTTATTTCACCCAAAAGTCACTTATTATTTATTAAATTGCACTACGGGTATGTATGTTGAAAAACACAAAAGTAAAATATTAACACGTCTATTGAAAGTATTTTCCAAACTACGGTGAAAGCCAATTAATGAACAGCTGTGAAAATACTCTCCTAAAGAAAGTGTAACACATTAGCGACAGTATAAATATTAGTACCCTTCTTAGAACATTTTCTGCTAATTGACATATCTTAGCATCTTACTTAATGACACCTATGTAACCGGTTCCAGCAAGTATATTAATATTTTAGGTTTTTGTATAAATTACTTATATAAGTTTGTTGGCTTATTAGGTTCCATTTTTGTTCTATACCTACTAGTATTTGCTATAGATGTAATTGATGACATAAACGATAGAATATGATAATTGTCTAATCACACAAAATCATTTAGTCCAAACTTCTATTCCAAAGCTTCGGCCATTTCTCGCGCCGGCTCAGATCAGGAGTTGGAACGGGGTGGTTTTGGTCAGTAAAAGTATGACACTCAGTCTCGCTTTACCCATGGCTAGAGAAGTCATTTAGTGATTTTCCACTTTAAAAAAAAGTATCAAAGGAACCTCAATATCGCCAAACCTAGGAAAACATTGCCTAAGTAGGACTACCCCATACTATTTTCTTTAGATTTGACTGTAGGCTACCTGCTACCATGGTCACGTGTCACGTAAAGCTTTAATAATTAAGATCAAAGGCGTGATCCTCAGTCTCTTGTCTAAGGATTGATATAGAATATAATTATTAGTAATTAACTTACAAAAATGACAGAAGATAAAAAAATAAGTGTCAATAATCATTAACATTGTTGTAACGTTACAGAACGCAAATGGGAATACCGGTACCAGCGAAGAAGATACAAGATAAACCGAAATACCAAAACAGAGTGGCTCGAGCTCACTCAAAGCGATCAGATCGCACAGATACAGAGGCAATGGAATTCGTAGATAACGACATAGCAAACACCATCAGCAACAATGCACCAATCAGTGTCAGCACCAACGTGAACCCTAAAAGTGATGACGGGTTCAAACAGCACGGCAACGAAGTGTCCCGCATGGGTAATTACTTCAATATTGTCATAGCACCACCACCCATCAAAGCCCTGCAACCTAGAAAACTCCTACAAAATGACGCCTTCAGAAATGGAGCCAAACGAATGACTTAAATACGCAATGTAATGTAAATGTCTTGACTAAAATAAAGTAATTTTAGAATTATTCACGCTTTTCTTTAATTGGTATCCTTATATATGGTAGCAGCACAAGCAACAAATTAAATATATACTTAAGTCTAATCAATTTGTATACTAAAATTCTATGTCACACGTAGCATTCTTTTTGTGTTAGTAACTGATTAAGTGCACTATATAAAGTAGAGAAAAATTGTTGTCTTTTTGCATCATGCCTTTACTGCAATTGTTAAACGTTCTATGAAGCTACATTTGCTTGATAACGAAGTCGATTATCTTTTTGGTAAAAAAATACAATAACACAAGATTTTTTATTCTCATTCGCCATGCTGTCCATTTTTTATTAAGCGTTGATAAGGTATGAATACAATCACACTCCGTTTCATATCATTATTTTTGTCGGACAATGTTTCCTTGATTAGTTTTGTATAAGACGTAAAGTGAAACGGAGCGATACCTATCTAGCAGCCATTTTGAAAACTAAACCATGAACTGACACACGTTAACAAAAAGTTTAACAATATGCGGAAATTACTTTTACTAGCATTGTTGTTATGTAGGTATACAAAAATAGTGACATTTATATTTTTTGGAAAAAGATTTTTTTAAGTTTTTTATGTTACAGATAACATCGTAGCAATGGCAACAAGAGCTCTCGGTTATGATTACGATGATGGCGATACCAAGAAAAGACACTCGCTTTTAGACGAAAGAAGAAATTGGCGTAAGAAAGCTTTGATGAAACCCCTAGAAGAAACAAAAGATTGGGATAGAAGAAGACACGAATATGATACTAGAGATCCAAGAGAGCGAGACAGGTATTTGGATGAACCGGAAACGAAGGCGTTAGGAGGAGCAATAGACAGACAAAGAGATAATTTGGACAGACAAAGAGATATGGACAGGCAGAGAGATGTGGACAGGCAGAGAGATTTGGACAGGCAAAGAGATTTGGACAGGCAAAGAGATATGGACAGACAACGAGACGCGGACAGGCAAAGAGATTTAGACAGACAAAGAGATATGGACAGGCAAAGAGATATAGATGGTTCTTCCCCGTTCAGACCAGGACAGAGGCATTACGAAGATGAGAAAATGAATTTACAACAAACAATAAAAAGTTCAGAAGTTGCACACACAATATCATACTTGTAGGTGCTAACTAGATCCATATTTGTGTATGTTGATGAGAGGTGTTTCATTCTTCTTCTTTTTATTTACAGGGATGAAAGAAAAGATGTTGAGAGAGACAAGAAGACACCTTTGTCAATGAACTGCGAGCGACCACACGAAAGGTACAATAGTTTATTCGGATATTTTAATAGCAGTTTAGTACAAAATCTTGTAAAGACTTAAATTTTCTTGGAAATCAAAAGGACTTGTGTAGAACATGACAAAATATGGTCATCAATTTTTGAGGTTATTGCGGTGAATTTTCAGTGTTCATAAGACACTTATAGAGATATATTTTAATGGCTGTCAAAAGTGTATTTTTAAACTTGAGCTTAATTACTGAACCTTTGACCTTGACCTTAATTTTTGTCCTAAACTTTGACAGGTACGAAGCATGTTTCGCGGGATGTGCATCAGTGACGTGCGACAATCCTCGCGACCGCTTGCGACCCTGCTACCCATTCTGTGAACCTGGCTGCATCTGCATACACCCCTATGTACGCGACGACAGGACACACAAATGCGTACTACCCGAAGAATGCACCAAGTATGACTCGACATCTATTCATAAGTTTTAACCTATAAATTCAGCCCCTTTATCTTTAAGTGTAAACTAGACCTTTTTGTCAAATATGCTAAGAATCCTGTGTTGAACTGGATCCTAAATCCTTTGTTAAGTACTTACCTTTACTTTGTAAATCCAAAGTATTTGCAATGTCAGACAAACTCGCTCTTTGGAGACTAAGAAATGTGATTTTTTAAGTGTCCATTGTATTATCAAACGAAATGTTTCTACGGAATTATGTCACCTGATCATTCCAACAATAACTCCTACATCTTCCTAACCCTCTTAAATAAAACCAAAACAATATTTTTGTTGCAGGGGCCTCAAAGGAATTCCAGATCTAGGCGATGATATCTAAGATGGATAGATTAAAAATGTTATAGGTTATTTTTTTACAATTGTAATACACCTTATTATATTTATTTTTACTTAATATATTGTTTTTGATATAAATATAATTGTTTTTTTTTTGGTACTCATTGTATTTTATACTAGCCTATCATACAATTGTAAAAGCACATTTTCTGTTTGGTTCAGTTCTTAAATGTGATGCATCCCTAGAAGCATACATCAATATTGTTTTGATACTTTTATTAAAAAAACTGCTTACGCTAAACCAATATTCGCCAATATTCAATGTTAAAACCATATTCATATAAATACCTAGTAACTAAGTAATCCTTATAGACTGACTAATACTACTTATACCGAGTCAAAGAATGGAGATGTCTCCACCGTCGCTGCATCGATTTCCGAGTACTTTTAGTGCCTAACTACTAGTCTTTATAGCAATTATGCAATAGAAATTGGATGCTACTTCAATTGCCATTTTGATAGCAGAAGGTATATCTAAGACTGTTATGAAAAGACGTCATCTAAAATTGAATTGATTTAGAAAGAATTAGCTTCCATTAACCCGATTTATCATTTCAATAAGCCATTGTGTAGTTCATTGCAATAAGACGTCAAAGTATGCAGCCATTGTTAGTTCATAGATGTCGACTTTTCTAACTTATATCGAAGCTCTGAAATAGACGAGTGCGTTGTGTAAACTCGGCCTACTTCTATAGAAACAATGGCCAACAATTAGTAGATATTCTTCTCCAAAAAACAAAGTGAAAAGTATGTTTTAGAAATTAGTAAAACAAGTGTTCAGAGAGGCTCGATAGCAATCACTAAAATGTTGTTTGTTTAAAAATAACATTTTCTAATGTGTACAGTTTTCGTCGCTCCACTAATGGCTTTTTCAGTTTTATTGTGTTTTTTGGTGACGTGCTCCGGCGTTTATATGTCCAACGAAGTGCGATATGGTACGTCATTTACTTTATTATTTGTCAGTTGTGCAGTGTCGCATCTACTGGTCATCTTATTATTGTAATGAAAATAGGTAAATATAGGAATGTGCTTAAGAATTTCGGAATATACTTCTAGGTTATGTAATACGTTACCAACATTTTAATCATTAAAATTATTCGACTATCGAGAATAGACAGTACTTTACAAAAATGTAAGACCTTGGTACGACCGTGATCCTTGTCTCCTTCTGGTTTGGATCCAGGTTTATTTCCATTGCTCGTTTCACTTGAACCATCACCGCTACTCTCGCTGTGGCCAAAGTTAACAATGTGTTTATCGCTACCCATTATACTTAAGGGGATTCAATGAAATTTGTTTTCAGAATGTGGACCACATGGTAGATTCGAGTACTGCATTGATGGCATCCCTGGCTGTGTGATTGGCTGCCATTGTCATCCAGGATATTACTTCGACACTGACACAAAAATATGTGAACCAAAGTAATTCCCACTTATTTTTGTATAATTGAAACATTCTCTCGAATACCCACTATTGGGTTGAAAATGAACCTTTTAATAATCATTTAATAAAATAACTATACATTTTACAGTGTAAAACTAACACAAGATATTCGACAACATTATTATGGTGAACATGGGCCTGGTGGCGGTGCCCCGAGCATCATCCCAAGTACTGAAACCTATCCATCTGCCACACCTAATGACCGCACCGGGAATAAAGGCAATGAAATTCTCAAGGACACGGACGAACTCGGTGACTGGCTTTATAATCAGTTCTTTAAAACTATTGAGAGTCAAGTCATAAATAATTCAAATAATACAAAACCAATTAATAACAATAAGCCACCAACACGTAGAAGTGGCGGAGACAGTAAGCCATCGGTCGTTTCAACAAAAAAAATTAAAACCCGAAGGTCTTTCGGCCGTACTAGAAAAAGGAAGCATAATATGAAAATGCATGGACTAAGAAGGAAACTACTACGTATTACAGAAGATGATAGTTTGTTTGATTCTGAATCGGATTCCGATTCTATTGACAGTTCCGGTTCCAGCGACAGTGACAGTGGCAGTGACGGTTCAAGTGAAACGAGCGATGGAAATAAACCAGGATCCGGATCAGAAGGAGACAAAGATCACGGTCATAAAAAGGTTATCATATTTAATAGAAGACCCAAGCCGCCATTGCCTTCATTTATTTTCTTACCAAATATGGATACACCATATTACCCGCCCATAGGCTTACCGCCACCGCCACCAATGCCAATGTACCCTATGGTCCCAGTGCCACCGATGGGTGCTCCTATGTATCCTTTCCCAGGTATGCCTTGATCTCTTGTTTACGTTATTCATTTGTTTTTAACCGACTTCAAAAAAAGGAGGAGGTTCTCAATTCGACGCGTATTTTAAAGCTTTGTTTACTTACATAAATAAGTTGCATTCAATTATTCTAGGTACTGTGACGAATTGTGACGTAAATATCACGACTACTACCAGCGAAATGACTACATTGACAACGACAGTCTCAACAACTACAAAAATAACCATACCTGAAAAGAAAAGTGGAGTCAGACGCAGTAAATTTGAAAGATTCAAAAACAGACCAATAGATGATGAAGAATTCATGCTTCGAGCTAGTGAACCAGGGTACAGATGCATATATTATACCTTTTAATGATCAGCTTCAAAACCAAATCCTAAACCAAAGCTTTCCATTTCTTAATAGTACATTCCGAGTCAGCGTATGGTAAATGTCAATGCCAATTTATATTGACATTCATATTAAATTATAAAGCAAACGTATAATATAGTATATCTATATTACATGTATATAGTTACATTTACGAAATAATTGAAATAAGAAAATAAATACTACAACCATAACGTTGTTTCTAAGCAGGATTTTTTTAAATAATGTGTTCGTAATAATCTATACCAAGTAAAAATATTTTTCAGGAAGCAAGCTAAACTCAAGAATACTCAGCGAAATAAACTCGTAAGTGTTTTAAAACAACTGATAATCAGTTTATTTTAAACGAAACGACAACGAAATCTCTTTTAACACCATTTGTTTGTATTCTGCTTGCAGACATAGAGACAACTATGTGTTTCATGGTTCATTCTAATATGTTTACACACGAATTTAATAGCAAATTACTTTCAGATGCAAAAACTACGTGATAAAATGAAAGAAAAAAGAAAGAATATAGCTCCATCAACATCAGAAGATGAAAGTGATTTATTAGTAAATCTAGATGATTTACCAAATGTATCAGACGCATTCACGTCATTTAAAAAGCGAAAAATTAAAAAACAGGACGATGAATCACAAACACCGAACTTGAAGGATGTTGATTTTAAATACTTATCGGAATTAATACATAAAGTCAATCAGAGTGCACCTAGGAATAAGATATATCCATCGCCACCGCTACCGTTTGATCTTAAAAATGGCATAAAAGAATTGCAAAAACTGAAAGCACAGCCGACACGTCGTAATTTTGATTATTTTGCCCAAGTACCCGCACCAGTTGGCGCTGAAATAGCAAGTCCACATGATCAAACCAGAAATTTGAATGAACCAAGCTCTGACGATGCCTACTACACGAACTTAGGGCGACAGATCGCGTCCATGATTCGTAACACTGAGTTTAAAACAGACCAGCCGTTCAATACTGACCAACACCGACCAGTTCCCTTTCGTTCCGTTCTCAATGAGAATAATTATTCGCCTGGATCACTCTGGGAAAGATCAGTACGATCTCCACTCCCTCAGCTTTCTGATATTAAACCAAACACCTACCTTGATGAGTCACGCACTTTGAAACACAGTAATGAAAAAAACCTTTTGAATCTAGAAAATGAAGTTGAATCTTACGTAAGTACGCAGCCTCCTTTAAGTTTGCAAGAGCTTGAAAACATTTTAAATGCTGTAGAAAAGGCACAAGATCTAATGAAAGACCCTCTCGATAGCCCAAAACCTACAAACTCTAGTCTAAATGTAAACATCTTACCGGAATATCTTAGAGATGATCACGCTTTTAGAAAATTGTATGATATGGATAATACAGATGATTTTAGCCCAGAAGAAAATACACGACACTATTTTTATATGAAAAAATCTCCTGCGGACCCGAAATATTCAAACTTTAGTATGAATTTCTCACCTGAGTATCACAGAGGTGATAATACATATAGGAGTTTGTTTGGTGCTGGTAACGATGACTTTCTAAGCCCAGCTGAAAAAGCACAATATTATTTTCAAGTTCAAAAACAGGACTCCCCAAGATACCCGAAAACCTCTAACATTAGTTACACTCTTACCATCCCATCTGATTATGTCAGAGGCGACAATACCTATCGACAGTCATTTGATACTGATAACGCAAACATTTTAAAACCAGAAAAAGCCACAAATAGTTTTGAACTTCAGAACACCCCTGAAGATGAGAAACCTTTTTTAAACGATAGACTCAACGTACATCTCCTACCCAGGCATCCTAGAGGTGACATAGACAATTTATATCCCATAGAAAGGGCACAGTTTTATAATCAATTTAAAAATTCTCTTGCAACGCCGAAACCGACCAACGGTAGTTTCCATGTGCTCATGATACCTAAGTACACCGGAGACTCTCACGTCTATAGACGGCTATATAATGCGGATAACCACCCCCTAACTCACACTCCAAGACCACCAAATAAATTTGTAGAACCAAAACTTATAACTGGGAATTATCATTCCCTTTATCCACTGAAATTTGAAGAAGCGCGGAATCCGACCAATACGTCAAATAAAACCATATTTCAAGACATAGGAAGAAATCATATACCACAATCTAGGGATTACTGGATGTCTATCAATCATCATGTTCCTAATCAATTGGAAAGAGAACCGAAGAGTCCTGTAAAATCGGAACATATCGAGCAAACCAACAAGCCTCTGCAGCATGACAATAAAATACAAGCGACGAACCAGGTGGAACAGGATCCTTTTGTAAGTGTTGTAGTGCCCACCAGCTTAATCCACACAAACTCACCGCGTACGGAATATTTACAATTCCTAAAAATTATACCGAATTTAAAACAAACCTCGAACCAGAAACGAGAACCAATGAAACAAAATAACTTATTGAATTATTTTTCTCGCAATAAATATCACTACATGTTCGAGAAAGACTCGCACCCCATTCTTGCCCCTTTTAGAAGGCGGATCAGCAAAAACTACGATAAACCTTCATATTTTCACCATAATTTACATCATTATGAATATTTTGATTAATTTGTAGATTATTGTTATTTTATTTATGTGTTAATATTAAATGCAAACATTTTGACAGAACAGATTTTCAATTTATAATCCTTTGTGTGTTTACGTTATGCCAAGCCGGCGTGGGTACGCGGCGTGCCAGACTCTATCCCGATGCACTGCTGAATGCCTCTGAACTGCAAACTTGCCACAACTTATTTTACAGCGACCGTCGCTATATTTCAATATACATTGACGTTCGAGTAGCAGATTCGATGCATTTGAGCAGTAGAATGACGCAGTGGATTTATGGCAAGCGGTTTTAAACGGGATAGCACTTGTTAGGAATAAATGGTAATCCCGTTGTATTCTTCACAGACAATTTAATTCCCATTTCATAACGTGGCACGTGTGCTCTGGCAGCGGGCAGTACGATGCGGCTCCAAACCTGTTTACGTACCATCAGTACGGAGTAGAGGAGGGGAAGTGCTTTATCGAGAAAAATGATTTTGCAGAGCCCATTTCATCATCCATTACTAACTGGTTGGATACAGATAGATAAAGTACCTACGCTTGTAAAATATTAAAAGCAAACTCGGTCTACTGGTTCTGAATAACTCACTTAACTGACATATAACTGTAATGACGGGTGATGATCAAACTATGATTTTGTCACTGCAACTTTTTCTCTTTCCAAAAGTAGCAATGACATTATCTATGTATTACGCTAACCTTTTTTTGTGCGGGGAAAATCACCAAATGTCTTCTCCCGACCAGGGTCGGGCAAAAGGGAGTGTTAGACTCTTGCTGACTAAAAACACCCCGTTCCTTCTCCTGCTCTGGGCCGAGGTCGCGGTGGCTCATTGCGCTTACCCCGCAACCCGGCGGTGACCTAGGTTTGCAGTGTGACTGTCAGCCAACCTGTACTTAACACGTTGAACGCCATGGGGGAAAACAAGTCGGCCACGCTAGCGGAGAATTTGCCCTCAACGGTAATCTGACGGCAATCAATGAGTTAAATACTTTAGGAAACAGAACTGAACTTTTGCTTTTTTTTAAATCATTACAATGTACCTAACTCACGAACACTTTCACCTAGCGCATCATTAGTGACTATAGGTGCCAGTACAAAAATCACGGTCACAAAAAGCTACAATCAGCGGCGAGCCGGACACAAATTATTTTGTCCAATGTACCCTATATAATTCTATGATCCATATATGATTCTAACGCCTGGTGATTTAAGGTAGTTTTTACCGTGTAAGCTACACGGTGAAGGTATCATCAGGGTTCCCTAAACTCATTCAGCTAATATTGAATAGAAAGTGACTTATCACTACCATCATCGACTTGTAATTGCATATAAGAGTTATTTGACCAGCCTATACTAGAGAGGGTTATGATGACGTAACCCGCAAAATAATGGTCGAAGAACCCTTAGCCTACCCTTTCTAGGAAAAAAAGTAACAAAACTAACTAGCAAATATTGACCTTCAAACCAAGGAAACCAAACAAAGCGAGCAAAGTCAACGTGTCCAAAAATGTGGCGTACGCGACAATCTGGGCCTGAGTTAGCAACCGCGGCCGAATCCCCCGCTGAATACTAAGCGACAATCTTTGCCTTTTCCTTATAATGTTCCAAATATTTTACTATGTAGGTACATGTGTATAAGATAACAAATACATAAAAAACTTACATATCTACCTATAAAGTTAAATATTTGAAACAACAAATATAGTACGATTATATTCTATTTATGTTATCTCGGGCAAAAAAAATTGGCATTACTTAATAATATTATATATGAACACAAAATCAACTTTCTATTTTTACATCAATTCCAAACTGTTTCATCTACTTAAACATTACAAGATTACTCAGCGTTTTGACTAATACATTTACAAAATTCAACGTTTTGCAGCACAAAATAAATCTCCATTACCGTTCAGTCGGAGCGTGTAACATGACCTTCGTCTAAAATAAAGCAGGTGGAAGTCGAAAGTCCAAATAAGGAAACAGAAAATAGATTCTAATTATTTGGCGACCGTTGGGATGAGTAGGGACTCGGGAGAGCGCATTAAACTGTGATGCCCAAAACATTGCGCCTCTCTGTAATCCCTCTGACCGAACTGGGTCACACGAAGCAACGACAACCTTTTATTTTATTAGAAACCCTTTCCAATATATCCACTTATTCATTGATTCTGTTTTGTAAATGTTAAATGTTAAATGGTTTCAAATTTCGACAGAGAATCACAAGATGTAGCTCACCACGGTCATTCTCGAGGAAAATACAATTAAGTTATTTTATTTTTATGCCTATGTCCAAAATGTGTACAGTTCGAATCAAAAATAGCAAGGTACTGAGCTTTATTGACTTGTGTAAAACTAGAATGGAATTACGTACCTAGAATATTTTTATGTTTTTACTATGTAGCAACTCTCACGCGGTTTCAACCGCTGCTCGGCTCCATTTGATAGTAACGTGATGTTTTGTAGCCCATAGCACTCAGGAACATTGTCAACTATCAGTGAAAGAATTTTGGAAATCCGACCAGCGGCAGCGGTTCAAAGATTACCCCTTACATACAACTTACAAACTGTACCTCTTTATAATATAAGTATTATTTGTGGTTGCGTTTTTTAATCAAGGAAAATTTCATTTAGGATATGCCTAAGTCCAAAATGTGTACAGTTCGAAAAAAATCATTCAATCAGATTTGATCTTTAAGACTTGTGTAAAACGAGAGTGGAATTACGTAGAAATTTTATGCACTAGATTCTGTTGAAATCTATAGTCAAAATATCATACTTTGTTATTTCAAGTTATTTGCAAGCAAAACATGTGACAAAGAGACGCGATATCGTTTTTAAACAAATGTAAATATATTAATTTATGCTCGAACAGTTCCAATGCTTATTCCCTTTGCAAATGGTGCTTCTTACCAATAAAAAATAAACGACAGTCTTTCATTCTAACTAGAAACGAGGGAGGGAAGAGCAAAAAGTCTAGGTTAGGTTAATGCATCAGCTGGTCCTCTCCCACGCATGTCGAATTAACAGACTGGGGGTAAAAGGTTGTCTATTGCTGTGCCTACTTTCAATGCTACATGTTGAAACCACAACAAAATTACTAAGAAGAAAATACGCGAACATTGTTGTCTACCTAATTCATAACTTGACATTTTACGCTCCATTAAAATAAATAATAATTTAAAAGTACTTTGGAATTGTTAATAAAGTCTCTACGAAAACTAGGCTTATTGTTATCAATGATAAATGACTAGAAACTAAATAAATTATTTAGACCTTTGATCAGATTAATAATTTTTATTTGATAGTACTGATGTGTGTCTACCGCACTACCCTTATCTTCAAGTGAACGCCACAAGCCTACATTCTATTGATTAATTGGAATTAAAGATTCAACACCGGTCGCCTAATTCGGTAAAACGCCGACACTAAGTTTTATTCGATCAATACTTACTTATGCCTTGGAACCAGGGACTAGGATGTCATGTCAAAAATCATAGTAAATACATTTATAAAGTGATGTGATCCGTGCAGCATAGCCACTTACCTTAAAGTACTAATATTTATATAATATTTTTTTATGTGGTTGGTCGGCAAACGAGCTGTCGGATTACCTGATGTTAAGCAATCAGCGCCGCCCGTGGACACACGCAACAACAGAGGAGTTACGAGTGCGTTGCCGACCTTTTGAAATTAGGGTTTTGGAGATTTAGGGATTGGGGAGGGATGAGGCCTCCGGTAAGCTCACTCACACGGCGAAACACAACACTGTGGTGGTTTCACGTCGGTTTTCTGTGAGGCCGTGGTATCACTCCGGGCGAGCCGACCCATCCGTGCACACTTGAGTATAAATTATGTTTCTTGCACATTGGTAAAATGTAATGTCATTGAAATAATTGAATCCTTGTAGTTTAGTACCGCCGTGTTCGAGAGTACAAGTACTACACTTTGCGATATTGGGGTTCGCTTACAAATAGGGTCGAAATTTATTCCGCGCCGTATCGGGCCATGCATGTATTTCCAATTTTCATATTTCCCACGGTGGGCCGGGCTCCGATATCTAGTAAATCTCCTACAGATATTTTTATGAAACCGAATTGATTTACAGCTTTCGGTACAGCGAATATAACAGTTTCATACAATATTCAAGTATTTCGTGCGAAATTATCGAAATAGGGATGCGGTGTAGCGGAGTCGGTACATTTTATGGCAACATAACGTTGAATGAAACTAAATATACCAATGCAAAGATTTATACTCGATAATTTTGTTAAATACACTATCCAGATATAATGTTAAATGATTATAAATATAAAGAACCCATTTCTTTACCCAAATAGGGAGATTCAGGACCCTTAGATAACACTACAGTTCTCGAAATCAGTACGCGCCTCTAAACGACGTCTGTTAAGATAAAAGGTTATTTAGAAGGGCCCAGCCTCCGCCAGGTAGCGATAACACCTGAAACAATTGCGGAAAAGAAAAAAGTAAAGTTAAAGTAAGGTAAAGTAGGTACGTCGATGAGCACCTGCTTAGTCAGCAGGCGGCGGTAAGTGGTCTCAGGCGGGCGCCACGCGCTGCCGGCGACGACGATGCTACCGAGCGACGGGCGGCGAAGTATTTCCCCGAGGCATGTTTACGACGCACCGCGCACAGCCCAATCTTCACCTCCAAACATCATTGCCTACAAAATGTCGAGCGAATTATACACACA